ATAAGGGTTCACGGCGATCCTGATGGTAGTGTATAGCCTGAGCAATTATACACATTTCATTCTATTATGACACCCCTACACTGCGGTCTCAATCACTATGATGTTCATACAGGAGGTGGTCCCCTACACTGTGGTCTCAATCACTATGATGTTCATACAGGAGGTGGTCTGTTTGCACGGGATGTCAGAATCGATTATATCAATCAGAGACAAAGTGTTCCTCAACCAATTCTGGAAAAAGTTATTTAGGTTACAAGGAACAGTCCTCAAGAGAAGCATAGTATATCATCCTCAAAATGACGGTCAGACAGAGGTGGTTAATAGGAGTGTGGTCAACGGTACATTGGATAGGCCAAAACAGTACTGCAATGCAAAATACTTCTTTCAAGATTTTCTATTAGGGAGATCTACCCCACCTGATGCACTATGGGCATAGTACGACACCAGTGTCCAGTGCTGACTGGTACTTGGAAGAGAGGAACAAAATATTGGTAGAGCTCAAAGGGCATCTACTGAGAACTCAACAAATCATGAAGAATAACATATATGAACATAGGAGAGAGGAGCAGTTCGAACCACGGGACATGATTTACTTGAAGCGGAGGACCTATAAGCATAAGACATTAGTTAAACGGAGGAGCGAGAAAATTTCACCATGATATTTTGAACCCTACGAGGTGACGGAATGCATTGGAGCAGTGGTCTACCATTTGCGGTTACCACCATCCTTAGTATTACATCCAATCTTCCATGTTCAGCAGCTGAGATGGGCGATCGGAGATCATAAACCCTAGTTGTCACTACCCTCGATGATGATAGAGGAAATGAAGGTGATGCTAGAACCCTTAGAGGTCTCGAGGGGGGCCCGAAGCAAAGGATGCAATTATTAAGTGGAAGGGTATGTTAGAGAATGAAGCAGCGTGGGAACCTTACGAGGTGATCCAAAGGCAGTTTCCATCATTTCATCTTGAGGAAGAGGTGCTTCTTTGGGAGGGAAGTATTGTTATGCTCGCTACTTGACCGTCCTCGCCTGGATCGGTCGAGCAAAGAACAAGCGACAGTCCTCGATCGTATAAGAGTCGAGCAGCTCAACAGAGAGGTGAGGCGCAACAAGGAGTAGCGACTGAGGAAACCAACGAATAGGAAGGGATCACAAGGGCTTTAATCACGTATGCTAGGAGGAAAATTAGGAGTTTGGGGAAACATTTGAAATGATGTGATAGGATAATATTAAGGCTAATAACCTAGGGTTTATTTTTTTTTTTATGAACATTTTGTTGGCTGCAGTTTTCTTTTTTTCATCTAGGGTTGTGGGAGAGACAATCTATCTCTTGAACAATAGATCATAATTGTATCTTGCTTGCTTTCCTTTGATTTTTATAAGAGCAGCCATCATTTGAGTTTTTCCACCTATCTATTGCAATTCTTCATTGTTCGTTTGCTGATTTTGGTTCTGAATCAGATCATATTGCTAGAAACTACAATGTAAGAAGCAAAGAATCATCATACCGACACCTCAACCCAAATAAATTGAGTTAGCTATGTGAAATCTACATATCCATTGTTCCAGCATAAAGTGGAATTATATCTTAAGATAAAACCAAAATGGAAAGATAAATTCATAGAGTGTAATTATATCTTAAATCAAAACCAAAAAAGCAAGACCAATTTATCGAATAAAATCCAACCATTAAAAAACAAATAAGAAGTCCAGAAAATACTGATAAGTAAAAAACTAGAAGAGGCCTTTTAAGAATCCATGATATTAACTCATCATGAACGAAATGAGACAAACATGCAACCAAGACAGTTAAGAGCATACCATTAGGTATTTCCCTCAATGGAGTTCCTCGACCCTACAATAAGAAAAATTAAAAAAATAATCAGTCATGTTTATATTTTCCAATGAAGAGAAGCTAGAGAATGAAATATTCACCTTCTCTATGATAACAGTGCTATCCGGCCCTTTTTCAATAACTTCTACTAACCTCTCAACGGTTTTCCTTTCACGCACAGGACGTTCATTGGAGGAGCCCACAGGGGAACTCAATACCTCTTTAGACCTCTTTCTACTTCCATTTACCTCCAATTCTTCAACATTTTCCTCGGTGTCGCCATCTTTCTTAGCTTCATCTGTTTCAGAAGTTCGTCGATCTCTGCTCCTTTTCCTTTTCAAAGACTCCACTTTTTCATTATCACTCACAATCTTGCCAGCATTTTCACCATTATCCTTTTCATCTTCTTCCCTTTCCCTTACAGCAAGCCTTTCCTCATCTTTTGCCTGAAGAGCTTCTTCCTCTACCACATCTTTAGCTTCCACCATTTCCATGTCCCTGGCATCCTTTCTAACCTTCTCTCTATCATCCTCTTCAACTTGTATCAAAACACTATCCTCAACCCTCTCACTACTTGTAGGTTTGCCATTTTCATCAACTTTCATCCCTTCCACACCACCTTCATCTTCACCATTCTCCAGCTCTTTAACAGAGATATCATCTACCACGCTGCTGCCTTCTTCCTTACTCTTCCCTCCAATAGCTTCAACATCTCCATGGACATACTTCTCATTGCTGTATTTTACATCCTCCTCCACAGCTTCATCCTCCACCCTTTCCACAATAAATTTCATCTCAGTACCATTCTGAACATGAACTTCCATCTTCTTTTCCTCGCCAATGGATATTTCAAAATCCTTCTTTTCCTGCAAATCCTGAGAATCCCCAGCCACCTTTTCATCCCCAACCGCATCTTTCCTTGCCTCATTTTCAACCACTATGTTGGTTTCCCTAATATTTTTATCTTCTTCCCCGTTCTTAATCTGTTTAACACCATTCATCTCCTCTCTGACCTTCAATTCATTCAAATTCTTCTCATCTTCACCATTCTTCACATCCCCCAGACACCTTGCCTCATTTTCAACCACTATGTTGGTTTCCCTAATATTTTCATCTTCTTCCCCTTTCTTAATCTGTTTAACACCATTCATCTCCTCTCTGACCTTCAATTCATTCAAATTCTTCTCATCTTCACCATTCTTCACATCCCCCAGACACCTTGCCTCATTTTCAACCACTATGTTGGTTTCCCTAATATTTTCATCTTCTTCCCCTTTCTTAATCTGTTTAACACCATTCATCTCCTCTCCGACCTTCAATTCATGCAAATTCTTCTCATCTTCACCATTCTTTACATCCCCCAGACACTTCACCTCCGCCGCTGCCTTCAACTCTTCAGAAACATTATTTTCATCTCCATAATGCCTTACTTCTTCCATCATATTTCCATTCCCATTCCATACCTCAGTAGAAACTTTTACAACTGCACCATCAGGTGGACCAGTGACATCTTTCAATCTATCTTCCTTCGGCTCCAATGATTGCTCCGCTTCCTCCATTCCAATAATGCAGCAGCAAAAAGATCCTTAAAAAAAAAAAAATTCCGACGATAAACCAAATAAGAAAGCTTCCTCAAAAATCACTGAAAAAAATGGGGTTTTTGCATACCAACCACTCAAAACTTAAAATATAACGGATTGATCGCCCAAACTAAAAATTTAACATTTCAATCACCCAAAACTTTAAATATAATGGATTAATCACTCCTATATTTAAAAAGGAAATAAAGTTTTAGGTGATTGAGATGTTAGGTAACCAAAATATTATATATAAACAAAGGCAATTTGCATAAATACCTCTTAATTCTTTATCATTTACATATCAAACATAAAATAAAATAACTTTTTCAAGGGATTTACATACATGCCTCTTAATTCTTTACCATTTACATATCTAACACCTAAACTTCAATCTAAAACAGAAGAACTGGAAACTATCAACACACATTGGAGACATAATTCTAAACAAAACAAACAAGAACTCAACACAATAGAAAAAATCACCTAACTCCCACGAAAAACCAAAACAACGCAGCAATTAAAGCAACACTTTCTTGAAACAAAAGCAGCTCAACAATGCTAATTAGCGGAAGAACTCAATCTCAACGCCATTAAAACCAGCACCAAGTCCCTAACATTGTTCTCGTATGAACTATAGTCGGACCTGACAGCAATGTAATGCTAAAACTCAAAACTAATTCAGAGCGGCACATTTAACGGATAAATTTCGGGAAAAACGGCACGGCGCTAGGGTTGGAAGCTCAAAACCAGAAGCCGCATACATAAAGCATCTTAAAAAACCCTAAATTACATTTCCTGAACTAAAATTAGCGAATTGAAGAACCGAAAATCGACAAAACCGATCATTAATTATACAGTCGAATGAAGAAATACTCACCGACAAGCTCCGAATCGGCAACTCCCGTCGAAATCTCTCTCGGCTCCGCTTCCACTCGCACTCGGCCTGCAAAAAGAGCTATTTTTTTCTTTTACTATTTTGCCCCTCATTTATATTTATATTCCGATGCCACGTGGCTAGCCGACTGATCTTATTGCCGCCGCTTTGGAGCTCGTAAGGCCACGTGTTAGAAAGATTAGAAGAAAATATATATTTCTAGCTTTTTGGTGAATTTAGCTAAATTGTTTATTATTATGTAATACACTAAAATTTTTTTTCCTCTAAACTTAAATGCTTAACAATAGTTTAATAATTATTATATTTTTAATTTAATAAATGTTAATTATCATTTTAAATAATTTATGAAAATTGATTAATGATGCATCGTTAAGAAATTTTTATAATTTGGTACATATCTCGAGGTATTTTTACTAAGAGGTATTCAAGATTCAAATTCAAGATCATCAAAATCTCTAATTTCAGCAAATATATAGTCAAAGTTATTGTATCAACAAGGCGCTCTTAATGATATCAAAATTGATTCAATCTGATTCCAATCGAGCTCAGATTAGGTCTTTAAAAAATAATTAAATGTTTTGAATCATTAATTAAATGATCAAATAAACTCCGACATTATTGTAGCAAAATAGACTTTTTCGATGAGAGGAATCCAATGAGCCCAAGCTTACTTAGTCTTGAGGTCTTTAAAGCCCTTAAATCATTAAAACAAAACTCTTATAATTAAAGGGAATCGATGTGGGTTGTCTCGTAAGTGGTGAAACTTATTCATCAAAAGTCCAAAATCTCCTTACCCTATAGGCTATAAATAGACCTCATCTCTTTACATAAGAGAGAAGAGATTAGTTTTAGACTGAAGGCTCATCGATAACTTTTGACATACGTAGTCGTCGACCACCATCAATCACCGTCTATCGGTCACTTCTGCTCGACACTTTTGATGACCCTTGCTTGATAACATTGTATCTCAAATACGGCTTCAATATATAACGTCATATTGAAGACCCAACAATAACTTTCGATCTCCATAAGCGGGGATCGTCATTAACCACCCTTCTCATCACCATTGGAGACTCTTGCTTGCTAATGTTATATCTCAAATACGGTCGTAATGGATAACGTCACATTGAAGTCCCAATGACAACTTTTGATATCCATAACCGCTAATCACCGTTGGCCATCACCACTTGTCCGCCAGCCATTAGCTATCAACGATCACCGCTTACGATTGTTATTGAGTATACAATGATTGTATTAGCACCTATATCTTTCATTACCTTGTACACAAACAAAGAGAAGAGGTCTAGTAATCGGCTACAGTCTATATAACCAATTACTACTACAACTTTCAATTATGGCCTCTGTGGCCAACTGACATTTACAACCCTCAATTATGGATCACGTGAACAACGATTATTACAACTTCCAACTACAACTTTTTGTAGCCCACTAATGTATTGCGACCCCCAACTATAGTCTATGTGACATTACAAGATAGATACATAAAATATTATGATGTTAAACACGTTTTTTGTTGAATTTGATGTTAGAGAGTTTATTTTAGTTAAAACCAGTCCTTTGAAGGGTGTGCAAAGGTTTGGAAAAATGAAAAATAAAACCCCAAATATGTACGCTCATATGAGATTGTGAAGAGGATTGAACATGTGACTAGTAAATTGGCTTTTTTTAGCTCGTATGCAAGAAGTGCTTAATGTTTATCAGATATATTCACTTATGATGTACATTGTTGATGAGTCTATTAATAAAATGAAAATGATAAATGTGCATCTTCAGATGAAAAGTTTTAAGGGTGCTTACAACATAAAACTTTTGAGAGTACATACAAACAATCATCATGATATGATTTTTTTTTTTTAAGTAAAACTTAGAAAGATAAATGAGTTAAATTGAAATAAGAATAACTAATTTAAAATGAAAGTTTACTGTTTGATTAATTAATTAATCACATTTCTTATGGACAAGTTTGCATATCATTTGCATATTAATTAATGCATAATAAAATTATAATTATTCTTTAAGTTATGATAAACCTATTTTTTTAATTAATTATTTCTTTGAGGTTAAACTCTAAATCCATATGACGAACATGAGAGACTCAATTTATAGGAGGTTGTCCACTGATTTAAAAGGGCTATTTATGAACAAACCACCCAATTCTTATGTATTTACATAGCAACATCTAATCTTTAATTTTTATATTTATATCATGTATATTTTTCATTACACATAAGAAAATATCATCATATTAGCTTTAAAAAAAATGAAATTCACATTTTCATACATAAATAATGCATGATATGTATGTAAAAATTGAAGTTTAGGTGGTAGAAATGTAAATACATGAATATAAATAATTATGAATAGTATTTAAATCAGTTATGATTAATCCAATAGAGTTCTTCCCACAAGAAAAGAATAAACAAGATTTAACTCGGCCGATTCAATCGCCGGTCCAATTATTTAAACCGAACCAGTACAACGGCCAATGCAGATAAACCCGGTTCAACCGAACCCAGAAAAGCACTGGAAGAACCTAGAAACACAAGCGTAATTCTCAAATTGCCCTTCACTTATTTCAAATTTACATATCATCGCCCCTCAAATACCCCACGCGCAGTACGGAAACCTCTCAGATCTCGTCCGGAGCGGCTTCCACTCCGAGCTGCTCGTAACGTGTTCCGGCGACGTATTCGATGATATCCTCGCCAGCCGCGCTGGCGGCGGATTCGGTAGGCGGCGGCGGCGAGATCCGGAGAATGACGGCGACGGCGGCAAGGAGGAAGGTGGTGGAGAGAAGGAGAGGCCAGAAAAAGCTCAAGAGGGAGGATAAGGTGGGGCCCAGGTATGCGAAGTAGGAGATGATCACGGCGGCGACGGCGGCGACGGCGGCGAGGACGGCGAAGTGGAGTTTGAAGCGGAGGAGCTGTTGGTGGATCGCCATTGAGGAGAGGAAGGAGGAAAGGAAGGGTTTTGCTGAGGGTTTGGAGTCAATGAAGATGGGGGAGGGATTTGGGTTTATAGTACTTTTGGAGGTTTTATTTAACCTTGCCTTTTTTTTATTTTTGGGGGATAATTACATATAGAGCATAAGAAATATTACTATTTACAAATCTATCTTTTAGATAATTTTTTCGAACAATTAAACCTACGCATTTATTCGTGCCACGATCAAATCGTTATGAATTGGGGTTTTATCATGATCTTTGATATTTGAGTGAGATTTTGAAAAATGGATGAAACGGGGTGTTATTTTGGGTGTCACATATGTAATTACTTGTTTTTTTATTTATTTCTTTATATATATATATATATATAGAGAGAGAGAGAGAGAGAGAGAGAGAGAGAGAGAGAGAGTTTATCTTTGTACCCTACATAAAAAGTATAAATAGGACCATCCTATGGAGATTTTCTTTCCAGCTCTCCAAATATTTGATATTTCCAAAATGGCCCTTATTGAACATCCTAACTTTGCTCAGTGTCTCAAGTGGCTTGTAAGTCAATTTAGATTTGAATGAGGGTTTTATGGGAGGAAAAAGTCTTGAGCAATATAAGGGGTTGTTCTACACATTCATTGAACATCCAAGTGTGGCTTTTGTATATTCAAGAATGTTAGCGGGTTGGCACGATCGAGTTTAATGTGTGTTGGAATGATGAAGGTTAAATGATTACACATCAAAGACTAGAACGAACTTATTGAAGGACAGTGGGCACTCGATGATGGTCAGATATGGTTGTTGAAGGCTAAGGTGCACGTGCCCACTCGATCAAAGCTAAGATGCAATCACTCCAAGTTAAAATGCGCTTGTCAAGGGTCAAGGTGCACTCCTCTAAGGCTAAGATGCATTTGTCAAATATTAATGTGCACTTGTCAAAAACTAATGTATTTTCATCAATGCACTTGCTATAAGCTAAAAGTGCACTCGGACCGGCCCCTTATACTTAATGTGGGAGGGGTTAGGGCAATGGAGGGTAAAGTAATATTTCAAAAAGGGCAAGTGCCCTCCTGGACCTTATGGGAGTCCACCCCTGTGCCGATGACTTCATCCATACAACCGGTGACTTCTCCTAATCACTTTAAAAGTTTTCCATGTGTTTATTTGTTTGTAATTATCCATCACTTCAAGGATAGAGTCTTTCAAATTATTTATGTTGGCAATAAAAGGCTAAGATCTTTTTTTTCTCTCATCTCTCTCTTCTTCTTTTTTCTTCTCTAAGTTTTGCTTTATTTTCTTATGTCCGCCTTCCTTTTCCCTTATGATCGTAATTCAAAATACAATCATGACTAGAGGTAGCATCTGAAGCCACAACATATTACGATACAAAAACCTTCAAAACTCTCAAATTCTCAATTGCCCTAACCACAATAACCGAACCTTTAGCTTCACCCAACCATAATGACCAAAACTCCCTCGGCACACACACCTAACATCTCTTCCATGCTCGTTTCTTCATCCAAGGTGCACTAGATAAAGAATAAGTTGTACTGACTAAAGACAGTGAAAACATTTCTCAACGGTCAAACCACACTATTTAAACGTTGTTACACTCACTAGAGGCTAAGGTACTAACCAAAGTCTAAGATGCACCACATCAATGCCAATATGCACTTCTCAAGAAAGAGGTTTACTAAACCAAGAGTCATAGTGGGCTTGCTATAGGGTCACTTACCATAGCCAAAAGAGCAACCACCCTAATTTAAGAGAATTATGGGCCCACATCTATCCCAAATTAGCCCAGTAGCAAGTCAGCATTTATGTCTCCATAATACAGCTCTTTCACCATCTAATCCATATAACTTTAAATGCCTTCTCCCTCTCTTTCTATTTGAATGTCTCTTCTTTCTTCTATTTTTATTTAATGGGCATTGAAGCTCAAGAGGCACATGCTTACTGCACTAGAACAAGCAATATCCTTTACTTGTTTGCTTGAAATCTCTAATTTTAAAATTACGAAAATGTCCTTACACCCACACCCACATAATTGGCATTCATGCAAATGCCTCATACTAAAATTACACATTAGGGTACCAACACAAATAACTTTTACTTATTATTATTTTATTATATTTATATTTTTATTTAAAATAAAAAAAATATTTAATTTGTCAAAAAATATATATTTTTTAATGTTAATTCCATATTAAATATTAGAACAGAGCACCCAAAACATTGATATTTACAAATCAAATATTCAGGGTGATTTATGAACTACCATAAAATCATTGAGAATTTGATAAAAATAAAAAAATACAAGTTGGCGTCTTGTTAGAAATTTTAATATTTTAGTTAGAATTAGAAAATTTAAAAAAAAGAGTGCTTTATTTGTAAATAATAAAGTTTCAAAATAAAATTAAAGAGAGAGAGAGAGAGAAGCAACCAAAAAGCTAAGCCTAAAGTAAAGATAAGAACAAAGATAACTTCCCCAAAATGCTGGCTATGACTCAAAACACTTCCCTCCATTGCTTCCTGGAGATAAAAAATAAAAGATTTAATATATATATATGAAGGAGAAAGGAGCGGAAGCTTCGAGCGACAGAATTAATGGCGATCGCCATTCGAAACCCTAGCTAAGCAGTCGCCCGCCATATATATATATATATATATATACACACATAAAAATAAGGTATGATTACACACAGACCACCCTAAAAATTGATATTTACAAATTAACCACCCAAGTAAATTTCCGATGCATTAAAGCGTGCCTCTACGAAATTATTGAGAATTTTATAAAACTGAAAAATGTAGGTTGGTTGGGGTTTTACCATGGTTTTAAATTAATATTTGAGTGACAATTTGAAAAATAGATGAAAGAGGGTGGTTGATTTGTAAATATCAATCTTTCGGGTGGTCTGTATGTAATTGCCCTCCAACAAATAATAATAACAGGTGGATTGATGCAACTCACAACGTTAAAGGAAGACTATGAGGAGTTGTTACACATACTCTTTTTCTTTGGAAGAATGATTCAAATTAACGGTCGAAATCATTGCCTGAGTCCAGAGGCAAGTGATCTCTATGAAGTCCAGATCAACTCCAACCAAATTCAGAAGCTCAATTTATCCAAATCATTGCTTGACATTTGAAAGTCACACTGCAGTTCCAAAAAAAAAAAAAGAATTAGGGGGTATTTACATATATACATAATAGCACTTAATTCTTCTGTATATACATATCTAACACCAAAATTGACCAAAGTGTTATGAATGTAAATATAAAGTTTGGGTGTTAGCTATATAAATGCAAAAGAATTGTGTGGTATGTCTGCAAATTTCCCATAAATTAAATGTATAAAAGAACTATTGAGCAGTAGAGCTATACAAGTACTCTTATATTTTCGACGCTGGACGACTGGGATCGGCATCGGCCGGCTCTGATCCCAGGTAAAAACACCTAGCAAAAGCCTGCAAATTCTTGTGAAATGCATCTTTGATTTTATTTTGCTTGTTTAGTCTCTGCAAGATGCATGATCTTGATGGAGTATAATGGCATTGCACTGCTATCCTGCAACAGAAAATCACTGCTTTCAGCAAGGGGACATTTTCATACATACTACCCAATTCTTATGCATTTACATATCTAACACCTAAGCTTTGATTTTTCACATTTATACCACCCAAACTTTTAGTATCATATAAAAAATACCACAATTTTATCTTTTAAAAGATGAAATATATCTTTTCATGCATAGATAAGGTGGCTTATATGTAAAAAACTGAAGTTTAGGTGTTGGATATCTATATTCATAAGAATTTTTAGTATCATATAAAAAATACCACTATTTTATCTTTTAAAAGGTGGCTTATATGTAAAAAATTGAAGTTTAGGTGTTGGATATCTATATTCATAAGAATTGAGCAGTACGTGTGTAAATCTCTCTTCAGCATATATATATATATAAATGGCATTTAGGGCAGATGTATCATCCTGTCCCCCTAAATATCGATCCCCCATATGTGTTAATTCGACCTAGTTGGGATTCAAACTCGGGGCAAAAGGAACTTACACCGAAGCTGCCTTCAAACAGGCCACGGTTGCGCACTTCTTGAGCATATATATATATATGTATATATACATATA